GAGCCACTCAGATGCCCTTGTTTTCCTTTCTACCCACCAATTCATCTCTAGAAATTTATCCCCCAGAGAGACTCTTACAAGTGAATGAACATGTACACTCCAAATGTTCAGCGTAGCACTATTTGTAATAGAGAAAAACTGAAAATAATCCAAATGTTCTTGAGACTATAGAATTAAATTGTGGTACCTTCATACAATAGGGTACTCTGCAACTGTTACAAACAAATCAGGCTGATGGGGTACCTGGCTGGCTCAGTCAGTAGAGCACGTGACTTTTGCTCTCATGGTTGTGAGTTTAAGCCCCAAGTTGGGCCTAGAGATTACTTAAAAAAAAAAAAAAAAGAACCATGATCTAGAAACTTGACCAAATTATATCATTAAATGAAAACATCGAGTTGTAGAACAGTGTGTGTAAAATAATGCCATGTACTTTTTGAACGTGTCCACATGTACCTGCCCATAAATAAATATAGGAGACCTATAGTCACTGTTAATAGTTTGGTATCTCTAGGAAGTTTTAGTGATTTTAGGTTTTTACTTTTTAAAATATCTGTATTATTTTCCCCAATATTTTATGAAAAATTTCAAACATCAAGTTGAATTATTCCATCAGTGAACACTAACATCTACCATGTTTAGTCTATAATTAACATTTTACTGCATTTGTTATCACATATCTATTTACTCATGCCTTTGTCCATCCATCAATCTATTTTATAAGATATATTAGAATATTAAAAAAATAGGGATGCATTTAATAATCGCAGAAATAAAGCAATAATGATGAATAATGTCTTAGATGAGATCAGCCATACCTAGAAGTTATTATCCTAACCATTTTTAAGACATTGGATACTTGAAATTTGGGGGCATTGTCAAACAAAGTGATCAGAGGAGGTCAGTCAGCAATGTGAACTTACCCGAAGTGAGGATGTAATCAAGCCTCTTGTCTGAAAACAAGGGTGATAAAGAGGTATCCTGACAGATTATATTAAGAAGGGAGCCCAGAGTTAAAAATTGTGTCTATCCAGCATTTGTCCAGGAGAGAAAGTTGTTGAATTATGGTATCTGCTATTGGGAAGCAATAAGGAGAGGGCTTTGGAGGCAGGCAATCCTGGACTGAATCTTGGCCTAGTCTTTTCCTAGTAGCTTAAACTCTTTACTTCTGCCTATGTAAAGGTGAGGTAGGAGAATACATGGTGCAGTCTAGAATATGCAATAATTAGGGGTAGTGGTAACAGGGTATACAGCAAAGTATGGCTGGGTTCTGATTATAGCAAGCCCTATGTGCCATGTTAAGGAATCTAGGTTTTATCTAGAAGGTAATGGAAAGTCACCAAGGGATTTTTTTCTTAAGATTTTATTAGAGAGAGAGAGAGAGACCGCGCACGCGCAAGCATGAGTAGGGGGAGGGACAGAGGAAGAGGGAGAAGCAGGGCTCCTGAGCAGGGAGCAGGGATCCTGACATGTGGCTCAATCCCAGGTCCCAGAGACCATGACCTGAGCTGAAGGCAGGTGCCTAACTAACTGAGCCACCCAGGTGCCCACCAAGGGATTTTATTTTATTTTATTTTTTTATTTTTTTTTAAAGATTTTATTTATTTATGATAGACATAGAGAGAGAGAGGCAGAGTCACAGGCAGAGGGAGAGGCAGGCTCCATGCCGGGAGCCCGACGCGGGACTCGATCCCAGGACTACAGGATCGCGCCCTGGGCCAAAGGCAGGCGCTAAACCGCTGAGCCACCCAGGGATCCCCAAGGGATTTTAAATAGAGGAGTGACATCCTTATATTTACACTTTAGAGGTCACTGGCAGCTGTATGGATGCAGGGGAAGAAGAGCAGCAGCTGGAAATTATAGTAGGAGCCTTGAACCAAGGCAGAGGTGAGGAAGAAGAAAGGTATGCAAGACAGATTGTGAAGTGGAATGTACAGGACTCTGTGACTGGATGGAGAAGGTGAAGGAAAGGCAGAGCCCTTGGTTTCTGGTTTCTAAGTGAATGTAGTCCAATTCAAACTTCACGTGTCCAAAACTGAATTCCTGATTCCCCCTGCCTGTTCCTGTTTTCCTCATATCAAGTCAGGGGCAACGTTGTTGTTATAGCTGCCCTGGACAGATAACTTGCGAGATTACTTTAGTTGTTCTTTTACTCTGCACATTTGAATCATCAGCAATACCTTTGTCTTATTTATTTTTTATTTAAAGATTTTTATGGGCAGCCCCGGTGGTGCAGCGGTTCGGCGCCGCCTGTAGCCTAGGGTATGATCCTGGAGACCCAAGATCAAGTCCCACATCGGGCTCCCTGCATGGAGCCTGCTTCTCCCTCTGCCTGTGTCTCTGCTTCTCTCTCTCTGTGTCTCTCATGAATAAATAAAATCTATAAAAAATATTAAAAAAATGTTTAGATTAAAAAAAAAAGTTTAGATCCAGTGCTCTGCCCAAAAGTCTCCAAGGGCCTCTATTTTACTCAGAGTAAATCCCAATATCCTTACCATGGCCTCAAAGGTTCTGCATGAACTGGGCCCCTATTTTCTTTGATTACCTCTCCTATTCTCCTCCTCCTGGCTCAGTCTGCTCTACTCACACTGGAGACTTTTTTTTTTTAAAGATGTTATGTATTCATTCATTAGAGAGAGAGAGAGAGAGAGAGAGGCAGAGACACAGGCAGAGGGAGAAGCAGGCTCCACAGAGGGAGCCCGACATGGGACTTGATCCCAGGTCTCCAGGATCCCACCCTGGGCTGAAGGTGGCACTAAACCACTGAGCCACTGGGGTTCCCCGAGACTTTGTTGCTTTGAGTGTCCAAGCACACTCCTGCCTCAGGGTGTCTGCCCTTGTTCCCTCTGCTTGGGGTGTTTTCCCCTGATGTGTCCACATAGCCTGTTTTTCTCTCCCTTTATTCAGGTGTCTGCTCACATGTGGCTTTCCTGGGCTCAATCTATGAAACAGCACTACTGTTCCCCACTGGTTACTCTCTCCCCCTTCTCTCTGGCATTTCCTAGCATACTACTTGTTTAAAGAGGGCAGAGACACTGTTCATTTTGTTTGCTGCTGCATCCTCAGTGCCTGCTATAATGGTGGGTGCTCAGTACATGCTTCTTGAATGAATATACAAACATAAGAGGAAGAGGTTTAGGAAGAAAGAGTTCAGCTCTGGATATGCTATTTCAAGCATCTAGGGGACAATCAGGTAGAGTCATGTGGAAGTTTATTTATAGGCCTAGAAAGGAATTTTAAATAATAATAATGTTGATCCTGTTAAACAAATAAGAAAGACACTTGTTTGTAACATGGTGCAGAGCACATTAAACTTAAATTATTTTATCCTCATAATAGCTTGGCGAAAGAAGTATTCAAATTACCTCTAAAGAGGGCGGAAAAAGTTCTCAGGGGTTCAGAATTGGAAAACCTGACTCATCTTTTTGTACCAAAAAGAGCCAGGGGGATTGTAATGTAGGAAAGGCCTGCCCTTGCATCTCTGTACCTCTCACCTTCATATACTTGTTGAAGACCGTCTGGATCTCCTCGTTGATGCTAGGCTGCAGGACAGCTCGAAGGAGGTCCATGGAAATGGCAGGATCTGTGAAACTGCATTCAGGAGGGAGACACAGTCAGGGGTCATGTCCCAAACATATCTTTCCTAGTCTGCCCAGCCAATTATTGACACAGGCTCCTTTAATAACAGTAATAGCTTCTATTGAAAATAAGCTATGTGCCCAGGTTCTGTGCAAACGAAACGTATGTATGGCTTTATTCCATTTTCATAAGAACCCTACAAAATAAGTACTATTTTTTAAAGTGTTTTATGAAATACAAAGTCTATACACTTTAACAAATAGTTTTATTTTTTTTTTTAATTATTTATGATAGGCACACAGTGAGAGAGAGAGAGGCAGAGACACAGGCAGAGGGAGAAGCAGGCTCCATGCACCGGGAGCCCGACGTGGGATTCGATCCCGGGTCTCCAGGATCGCGCCCTGGGCCAAAGGCAGGCGCCAAACCACTGCGCCACCCAGGGATCCCAACAAATAGTTTTAGTGAACATCCACTTAATCACTACTCAGGTCAAGAAATTTAATCAGGATCCCACAGGTCCATTGTGCTCTCTCCCTTCACCGAGGTAAATACTATTAGCCTCACTTTTTTCTTTAAAAAAATTAAAAAAAAAGATTTTATTTATTCATGAGAGACACACAGAAAGAGGCAGACACAGGCAGAGGGAGAAGCAGGCTCCATACAGGGAGCCCGATGCAGGACTCCATCCCTGGACTGACAGCATGCCCTGAGCTGAAGACAGACGCTCAACCACTGAGCCACCCAGGTGCCCCAGCCCCACTTTCTTCTAAACGTCTATGCTATTTTGCCTCTTTAGAGCCCTCAACCACAGAGCGAGTGAGTGTTAGGATCTTAGGCACTGCTGAATTCATGATTCCTCCTATTTTATACAAGAGTTCAGAGGTGGCAATGATTCAACCAAGGTCACATCCAGAGTGACAAAAGCCGAGTCTCCTTTTTCCTAGTCCATTGCTCCTTCTAACAGCTGCTGATCTCTCTTCAGCTCTGTGCAGTGGGGACCCCAAGGGTGCCAACCAAGCCAATCAATGCCGGGGAGGTCAATACTCAGGCCCAGCCTTACCTTGTTGTCATCTGTGAGCGGCGGCCCCTTCGCTGCACCTGCCTGTGCTTTATCATTATGTTCCAAGGGTTCTGTGGGGACCAAGGGAACAGATGTCACCGAGGCTTGTGACACTAGGGTACAGGTGGAGGGTGAGTATGAAGTTAAACGTGGACACCTCTGCTTCTCAGGTACTGTCAGCATCTCTCCCACCCTCGGGCAGGCGGGAGGGCAGCGGTTGAAAGGTCCTGCCGGGGTGGAGGAACTGAAGTTTCCTGCCTCGAAAAGTCCCAACCCCACCCTTTCTGGGATGGGAGGGGGAAGGGAACCAGTGTTTACCGAGGGACCACTCTGGGGCTGCTGGCGTGCTGGGCGCTCTGCTCGCCTTTACACCCATCCCCGTAACAACTTTACGAGGCAGGCACTAATCATCTCCATTTTACAGAAGAGGAAACTGGAGCTCAGAGGTGACAGGACCGGCTCACATCGCCTAGCCAGGAGGGCGGCACAGAATTTGAATCCGGGTGGTCGGACTGCGAAAACGCCAACGCCCTGGGCAGCACCAGCCGCCGCGTTCTCTCGCCCGCGGGCCAGGGTCCCGGGAGCCCGAGGCCCAGCCGGCCCGAGCCCAGGCCCAGCCCCAGCCCCAGCCCCGGCCTTCCCGGGGGCGCCCTCACCGTGAGTACCAGCTGCCCCGCTGCGCCCGCGTCGCCCAGCTCGGAGCCGCCCCGCTCTGCCCCGCCGGGTCCCCGCGGCTGCTCGGCGTCGCCAGTGGCCCCCATGGCTCTCCCGGCCCCCACAACCTCAGCCCGACTCTGCCACCGGCCGGAAAGTGGCCCTGTGACGTCATCGGAGGGCGCCGCGAGCCGGCCCGGAAGCGCGACGCGGCGAGCGGCGGGGTTTCCATGGGAACCTCAAGGCCGCGTCTCGCTGGGGCCCGGAAGCCGGCAGGCGCTGTGAGCCGGCCGGTGGGGGCTTCTTCTGCGGCCCGGCCGGCTCCTCGGGTGCGGACTGTGGGTATTTGGTCCGGGAGCGCTCTCCGCTGGGCCAAGGCGGGTGGAGAAGTGCGGGGCAGGAGGACGAGAGCGGGCTCTCGGGGCTGGAGCTTAGGTGCGGAGGGGAGCACAGCGGGGCCCGCAGTTCAGTCTTTGAAAGCCGGAGAGTGCGCCTAATGCGGGGACCCGAAAATTCAACAAGAGGGGGTCTGGCCCATGCCCTTCCAAACACCCACCGGGTCCCTCGAGGCCTAGGCTCCAGGGGATGCCTCTTGCATCTGAAGGCATCATAGGGAAGGTTGGGTCTTGGCCCGTGGACTCTCCAAGCCCCAGCGACCCGGGCTTCTCTCTCCAGGAAGGTGATTCTGGGATGGGCGGGGATGCAGAGGTTTAACAGCTATGGAGTTTCACAAAGCTCCCCTTAGCTCTGGCTTAGAGGTAGGATGTCCGTAAATAGAACTGGATCGATTTACGGGTAGTAGAGAAAGTTCCTTTTACAGGGTCACAATGTGGAATAGTAAAAAGTACATGAGTTTTTATTTGTATTTTATTTATTCATGGGAGACCGAGAGAGGCAGAGACATAGGCAGAGGGAGAAGCAGGCTCCCTGGAGGGAGCCCGATGAGGGACTCCATCCCTGGACTGGGATCAGGCCCTGAGTCAAAGGCAGATGCTCAACCGCTGAGCCACCCAGGCACCCCAGTACCTGAGTTTTTAATGTAGAAAGATATGAGTTCAAATCCAGCGTGATATGGTGATTAAGAATATTGACTATGGAATTGGGCTGCCTGCCTTTGGTCTACCACCCTCTGTGTGATCCAGGTTTCTTTCTGTGCCTCAGTTTCCCTATCTGTAGAGTGGGGACAATGGTACCTACCTAATAGGGTTGCACTTAAGGATTAAGTGAGCTAATTCATGTGAAGAACTCTGGCACAGGTAAACCCCCAAGCAATGCTATCTGTCACTGCTATTATTAAATTCCAGTAACCACCATTTACTAGCTTTATGACCTTGGTCATTCTTTCTCAACCCCTCTGAACCAGTTTTCTTACCTTTGCAAGATTATTGTGAGGATTAAAATAGATAATACAGGGGGATCCCTGGGTGGTGCAGCGGTTTGGCGCCTGCCTTTGGCCCAGGGCCCGATCCTGGAGACCCGGGATCGAGTCCCACGTCAGGCTCCTGGTGCATGGAGCCTGCTTCTCCCTCTGCCTGTGTCTCTGCCCCTCTCTCTCTCTCTCTCTCTGTGTGACTATCATAAATAAATAAAAAAATTATAAAAAAATAAAATAGATAATACATATAAAGCACATGTTAGGTTATCAACAAATGTTAATTATCTCCATGGTCCAATATCAGCCTTAAAACAACAAGGCAACTCTTTGGCACCAAACTCTGGCTCTATAGTGGATATTTTTGCTTTATTTTTTATTTTATTATTATTATTTTTAAGATTTTATTTATTCATAGAGACAGAGAGAGAGGGGCAGAGACACAGGCAGAGGGAGAAGCAGGCTCCTTACAGGAAGCCTGACATGGGACTCATCTGGGGTCTCCAGGATCACACCCCAGGCTGCAGGCGGCGCTAAACCGCTGTGCCACCGGGGCTGCCCTAATATTTTTTTTTAATATTTTGTTTATTTGACACACAGAGAGAGGCAGAGACATAGGAAGAGGGAGAAGTGGGCTCCCTGTGGGGAGCCCAATGCAGGACTTGATCCTAGGAGCCCGGGATCACAACCTGAGCCAAAGGCAGATGCTCAACCACTGAGCCACCCAAGTGCCCCGAGATTTTTGCTTTAAGCCTTAAATTTCCTCTGCTCTTTAATCTTACTGGGCCAAGCAACGTCAGTGGATACCATTAAATATCATGTCTGACCAAAGTCATCATGGACAGGACATGTCAACAGGACAGATAAAAGTAAAACGAAATAGAAGAAGAGGAGATAAAGTAAGGTAGTATAGATGGTCTAGACTACTTGAATCATAGCAACTTCTTTTTTTTTTCTGTCAGCTAGCCTTCATGCAATCCAAAAATGGCCTGAATGGGCTAGATGGACCAAGATGTAGGTGTTTGGTGCATTTGTATTAGTTCTGAACAAACTCACATACGGCTTTGCTGTAGTTTTTTTTTTTTTTTTAAAGATTTTATTTATTTATTTATTCGAGAGAGAGAGAGAGAGAAAGAGAGGCAGAGACACAGGCAGAGGGAGAAGCAAGCTCCATGCAGGAAAGCTCAATGTGGGGCTTAATCCCGGTCTCCAGGATCAGGCCCCAGGTCCGAAGGCAGTGCTAAACTGCTGAGCCACCCCAGCTGCCCTTTTCTAATGTTTTCTACGTAGTCTGCTCCACTCTGTTTTTTGGATTGCTAGGATGAACAGGAGCCACACTGCATTTTGTTAGTTTGGTTATGATTAAGTCCCGTCTTTGGTCCTTCCCTCTGTCTCTTTGGCTGCAGCTGTGTCCTTCCAAAGCCCTTTAGGGCTCTCTTTGATCCTTTTTTTAAAAAATTTTTTTAAAATTTTTATTTATTTATTTATGATAGTCACACAGGGAGAGAGAGAGAGAGAGAGAGAGAGAGAGAGAGAGAGAGAGAGGCAGAAACACAGGCAGAGGGAGAAGCAGGCTCCATGCACTGGGAGCCCGATGTGGGATTCGATCCCGGGTCTCCGGGATCGCGCCCTGGGCCAAAGGCAGGCGCCAAACCGCTGCACCACCCAGGGATCCCCTCTCTTTGATCCTTAATCCAGTGGCCATCCCTTCATTTCCCCAACTACCAACCGGGTTCCTTATCCCTGCCCATGAGTGTTGTGTATATTGCATTACAGAGTTTGATCACCGTCATCACATGTGCCCTTTGGGAGTGCCAGGCATTTTCCCACACAACAGCAACCACTTTTCTTCTTGTTGGGAGAAGACGTCCTTGGGGAATATTGCGAAAGGGAAGACTTTGGGGCTGGGTTTGGGCCAGTCTCCTAGTCCTGCCCTTCCCTTGATTGATGCTCTGGGTGAGGTGTACACCTCCGGCCTGGACTGAGCACTCATCTCAACTCTCCACACCATCATCATGTCTAGCTGCTGCTTCTTCCTGAAGGCACTTCTTGCTCTTGGGTCCCTGACATCCTGGGTGGCTGCAGGAGAGCATGGTGAGCTATTATGTGGGATCCCTGGCTGACAGTAACAGAAAATGACTAAGAATAAGTCATCCCTTTCCTCATCCTGGAGTGAGAGTCCTCATTTGTGGAGATGGTCATATCTGTAGGTCAGGATTGGATGCACAAATTCTCAGGAAAGCTTGACAGGGTAGGTCTTCTTGGTTTTCTTTACTCCCTCTGGACAAGGAGGTAGGACTTCCAGTCTGGCTTACTAAAGGTTCTAGCTTTTCCCTAGTGCTCTTTAAATGTGAACAGGATCAACCCCAACCTTTCCTTCTCTTTATCTACAAAGTGGCTGGACATTCAGTAGTGGTAGGTGAGTGTCAGTGGTTGTGTTGGGGGAAGGGAAAGGTATTTTGGATAGGAAAGTTTAGAGAGGTTGAACATCCTTGAAATGCACTTGGCTTCTATTCCCCATCTTTTGAGGCTTAGCCAGTCACTCCAACCTTGTGTGATATCTTTTGCAGTGAAAGAAGGAGAATGCCCTCCTGATAAGAATCCATGTAAAGAGCTGTGCCAGGGGGATGAATCGTGTCTGGCTGGGCAGAAGTGCTGCAGCACTGGCTGTGGTCGGGTCTGCCAAGGAGGCATTCCAGAGGGTATGTTGACTGGAGGGGCAAAATCCAAGTGTGCTTCCTGACCTTGACTCTGGGCTAGAAAGACCCAGAGAGCCTCCAACCTCCTAGATAGGCTCTTGAAATCTAGCTTGCCTGAAGTGCCTCATCTCCCTTTTGGAGTTTCTTCTTCAATCACTGAATCCTCAGTTCTTTGTCTTCTATCAGGAAAGAACACACAACTGACAATCTCTTTTATTTGAACTCAGGGCTCCTGCGAAGGCTGGAGGGCAAAGTTGTGAGGGGAAGCCTGTTAGAGGTAGTTATCAAAAGAGTAGACCCCGAGCCAGGCTGAATAAGACTTAAACAGCCTTTTACCTCGATTTCCTCATCTGTAAAATGGGGATAATTGTTTGCACCTCTTGGAATTGCTGTTGAGTTTCAAATGAGAGGTTCCTGGCACAAAGTGAACTCAGTAAATGTGAGCTCTTATCATTGTTACTGTCTCTGCTGTAGCGCCAGGGTTGAGAGTCTCAAAGAAGCTCAGGGGTTCCTTCCTTTAAATCTCCCTTTTGCTACACCTATGGGTGCCACCAGGCACTTCTCTCTCTCTCTTCTCTTTATGGCTGTCTCCCTTTTTTGCTACAGGGAGGAAAGGAGATTGCCCCAGGGCTGCTCAGAAACAATCCTGTTTTCAAAGGTGCGTCACTGATGAGACTTGTCCGGGTATAAAGAAATGCTGCACGTTTGGCTGCAACAAGAGCTGTGTGGTCCCAGTCCCTAAGCCAAAGCTGGGTAAGAAACACTACCGCAGGGCCCATAGGCTCTTTGGCCTGAGTGCTTCTTTCTTAAATAAGCCTGCACCATCTTATTGTTGGTTTTACTTTACTTTGAACAACAAAAATTAAGTGGCTGCCATATTCTGAGAATTTTTCTAAAAAATGATAGACAAAGGGTCAGCCATTGATGATCTGGGAATGGGGTCCAGGCAGGCAGAGGAGGCTGCTAGAAGGAGGATCGTGGCATGCAGAACTTTCTGCTCTATTGCTTGCCTCCTCTTTTGGTCCCTGAGAGGCCTCCAAAAGGTATCAGAAATTGATGATGCATCTTCCATAGCTTCCCCTTCTCATTTCCCTCTTGTTTCTGGATTTTTATGGTTTATTTGCTTGTTTGTGCTTCCACATATATTTTGTTATCATATTGTCCATCACTACCCCCTTCCTCTCAAATAGGGGGGCTGCTTTTATTGGAGAGGTGTTAGATGTATAAATTAATTTCAGGGGTGCCTGAGTGGCTCAGGTTAACTATCTGTCTTCAGCTCAGGTCATGATCCCAGGGTTCTGGGAGCCCAACGTGGGCTCAGCAGGGAGCCTGCTTCTCCCTCTCCCTCTGCTACTTTCTCCTCCCATGCTCTTTCTCTCTCAAATTAATAAATCTTAAAAAAATTAATTTAGGGAAAGCTGACATTTTTATGTGAATCTTTATGTCTTCCCATTGTCCATGTGCATTTGGTGTATTTCAGGGTATTTTATAGTTTTCAAATACTTCTTGATAAGTTAATGCATAAGTTGTTTTATTTTTTTTCTCATCTGCATTAAATGAGGTCTTAATTTACACCTTCCATTATGTTTTCTTTTTCTTTCTTTCTTTTTTTTTAATATGGAACGCTTCACGAATTTGCGTGTCATCCTTGCGCAGGGGCCATGCTAATCTTCTCTGTATCGTTCCAATTTTAGTATATGTGCTGCCGAAGAGAGCACTCCATTATGTTTTCTAAAGAAACTGGAACCATTCTCTCTGAGGGCATGTGGCAGCTATTCCAGTAGAAAAGCCTAGATTTTGGTAATCAGAGAGCTGGGTTCAAGCCTGAGGCTCACCAGTTACTGGCCAGCGGGTCCCTGGCCAAGTGTCTTCTGCTTCCCCGAGCCTCAGTTCCCTTCTTTGTAAAATGGAAAGAATGAGCCTTGGAGGTTGTTGTAAAGATTCAAAGTGTGTAAAGTGTTTAGCCCTCAGGAGACATCAGCTTCCTTCCTGTTGCCTGCTAAGGTGGGCTTTATTAGGAGTGCAGTTGCTTACCAGCCCCTTTTATAAAGAACAAGGATTCCTCTTCCTGCGGAAGACTCTGGAACTCCACAGCATGTGACCACCTCTTTCTTTCCAGCCAAACCTCCCCAGGTAGCGGGCCTCTTCTCTGGACCTTGTGGGGCTGTGTTTGGCTTGGACCGCTCTCTTGGGCTCCCTGCCCATTAGAGAAAATAGAGGGTTGTACTCCTTGCCAGGACTCTTGCGGCCCAGCTTTGGAACCAGAGCCTGGGAACCTGTGTCAGGCCAGTCACTCACTGCCAGCCTGTAAGGCCCAGCACAGTCTTCCAGTGTGAGGCTGATGGCTGAGTCATGGGGGCTGAGGGTGAGGCTGGCACCTAGGCCAGGCCCTTTGTGAACTGCTCTGGGCCTTGGCCAGCCCAGATGGGGCTTCTTCTTTCCTTGGAGCCAGGCAGCCTGCAATAGTGACCTCCCTGCAGATCTCCCAGAGTGTACTTACTGGCTGAGTGGGCTTCCTAGTCTGGCGGGAGTAGTTAATGACCTGTCTATGGCTCCAGGCCCCGGGCTGAGCTACTCCATGGGACAGGAAGCTGTCAGTCCTGGGCTCTGAACAGTTCCTGCTTTCCCTCGGCTCTGACATTGCCAGGGGTTTACGTAGCCAGTGCTAGTCTGTTTGGTAAGGTGGAGGGACAGGCAGGCTGAGGGTTCAGGGTAGACCCTGGGACCTGCTCAGGTGGGGCAGTTCTGGTTTGAGCATGCAAGTGAACCTTGGCTTCTTCTTTTTTTTTTTAATTTTTTTAAAGATTTTATTTATTTATTCATGAGACACACACACACACACAGAGAGAGAGAGAGAGAGAGAGAGAGAGAGAGGCAGAGACACAGGCAAAGGGAGAAGCAGGAGCCCGACGTGGGACTCGATCCTGGGTCTCCAGGATCAGGCCCTGGGCTGCAGGCGGCGCTAAACTGCTGAGCCACCCGGGCTGCCCGTGAACCTTGGCTTCTAACTGCTTGCTGTGTGGCCTCAGGCAAATCCTTTTATCTCTCTAAACCTCACCTTTGTCCTCGGTTCAGTGGAGATAAGCTTATTTACCTCAAAGAGTGATAATTGGTGTCTTAGTCCTTTGGGCTGCTAGAACAGAATTCCATAGACTGGGTGGCTTATGAATAACAGAAATTTATTTCTTATAGTTCTGGAGGCTGAGAAGCCCAAGGTTAAGGTGCCAGCAGATTCAGTGCCTGGAGAGAGCCAGCTTCCTGGTTCACATACTACCATGTTTTCACTGAGCCCTTACACGGTGAAAGGGCAATATGAGCATTGTCCTATTCATGGGGGCCCCCCTCCCAAAGCACGCATCTCTGAAACTCATATTAGGGGTTAGATTTCAAGACATGAATCCTGGGGGAACACAACATTCAGCCTATATCATACAGTTTAGAAGACTGTATTTTATTTTATTTTATTTTTTATTTTTTGTATTTTATTTTAATTTATTTATTTTTAAAATATTTTATTTTTTTATTCATGAGAGACACACTGAGAGGCAGAGACATAGGCAGAGGGAGAAGCAGGCTCCCTTTGGGGAGCCTGATGCAGGACTCAGTCCTGGGACTCCGGGATCATGCCCTGGGATGAAGGCAGATGCTCAACCACTGGGCCACCCAGGCATCCCAAGAAGAAATTTATTTTAAAAGCCTATAGAAAGCCTGCCAAATAATGCTCAGCAGCTCATGCTGTGATGCACAGCACCTCTCTGCTCACGTTCCCTCCTGCCATCTGAAGTCAGATCTGTGTGTCCCCTCCCTCACTACTTATCAAGTGTCTGCAGCTGGCATTATGTGTGTCTGGTGTGAGCAAGGCAGCCGAGGTTATAAATAATAGGCACAGATTGTGATGAGAGCTGTGAAGGAAAATCAAAGAGAGCTATAGGGGAGGTGTCATTTTAACCTGCAGGATGAGAGAGAGCTGGCTGTAGGGTGTGTGAAGAGTAGGAAAGAGCTTACTGATTCAAGGAAGTGAAAGGAGGTCAGTGGAGTTGGAGAAAAGAGAAGGGGAAGGAGGAGGAAAGTGGCTCCGGTTAGGGAGAGTCCAGACCTCCAGTGAGTCTCTGGGGCCTCTGTCAAAGCCCTTGTTCTAAGTGCACTGGGAAGCCTTTGCAAGGCTTATGAAAGCAGAGAGGAGAGGCCTAGTCTGGTTTTCGTTTTACTTTATTTTATTTTATTTATTAATTTTAAAGATTTTATTTATTCATGACACAGAGAGAGAGAGAGAGAGAGAGAGAGAGAGAGAGAGAGAGGCAGAGACACAGGCAGAGGGAGAAGCAGGCTCCATGTAGGAGCCTGACGTGGGACTTGATCCTGGGGCCCCAGGATCACATCCCAGGCCTGAGGCAGCGCTAAACTGCTGAGCCACCTGGGCTGCCCTGTTTTACTTTATTTAAAAAGATTTTATGGGGGATCCCTGGGTGGCGCAGCGGGTTAGCGCCTGCCTTTGGCCCAGGGCGCCATCCTGGAGACCCAGGATCGAATCCCACGTCGGGCTCCCGGTGCATGGAGCCTGCTTCTCCCTCTGCCAGTGTCTCTGCCTCTCTCTCTCTCTCTGTGTGACTATCATAAATAAATAAAAAATTAAAAAAAAAAGATTTTATGTATTTATTTTATATATATATATAGAGAGAGAGTGTGTGCTAGCAGGAGGAGGAGCAGAGGCAGAAGGAGAGGGAGATAATTTCCAGTGGACTCCATCCAATGCAGGGCTGGATTGCATGCCCCAAGATCACAACCTGGGCCAAAACTAACAGTTGGACACTTAACTGCCCAAGTTACCCAGGTGCCCCTTGGTTTTAATTAGTTAATTTTATTATTTTTAAAGATTTTACTTATACATGAGAGACACAGAGAGGCAGAGACAGGCAGAGGGAGAAGCAGGCTCCCCGTGGAGAGCCTTATGCAGGACTCTATCCCAGAACCCCGGGATCACAACCTGAGCCAAAGGCAGACACTCAACCACTGAGTCACCAAGGTGCCCCTGGTTTTCTTTTTTTAAATATATGTATATTTTATTTATTTTAAAATAAGCACTCTGCTGGTGTGTGAAGAAGAGATGGAGACAAATGTAGCAGATGGCAGGCCCATTAAGAGGCGGTTGAGGCAGGCTTGGGGGGGAGGTGAGCACAGCTTAGATCAGGGTGGTGATGGTGTGGACAGGGAAAAGTGACAGACTTGGAGTACTTTTAAGGTAGAGTTGACAAGACTAAGTGAAGAAATAAGTGGATGTGTGTGCTGAGGGAGAGGAAGTGTCAAGAGCTGTACTAAAGTGTTTGTCTTGAGTAGTTGAGTGATGGGAGGTCTTGGAGGCAAGAGGTTTTGGAGCAAAGATGAAGATTACAGCCTAAGAGATGACTCTCCTTTGGCTACCTTAAGGCGCCTCCCCTCCCCCATGAAACCCAGTGACCCATTGTTTTGCTTATTACAACCTGTGAATTATATCCTTTGGGTGGATGGATGGCATGGGCTTCCTGTGTGTTTGGATGACCTTTTCCTGAAACCTCACTGCTGGTTGTTCAGAAAAGAGTTAACATAGCAGGCCTGAGATTGATATTCTTAGAAAGGTCTACTTGCAAGACCGGCCTTGACTGGCTTCTGGGAACTTAGATTTTGAGAGTGTTCCTACTGCCCTAACTGGTAAGAATCATACCTGCTAGGGCAGCCCTGGTGGTGCACCGGTTTATCACCACCTGCAGCCCGGGGTGTGATCCTGGAGACCTGGGATCGAGTCCCACGTCGGGCTCCCTGCATGGAGCCTGCTTCTCTCTCTGCCCGTGTCTCTGCCTCTCTTTTGCTCTCTCTGAATAAATTAATAAATAAATCTTAAAAAAAAAAAAAAGAATCATACCTGCTAAGCAGAGCGTGCCCAATAAAAACCTCAGGTCTCTAATGAGCTTCCCTGGTTGACAACACTTCACACTGTGTTGTCATGACTTATAGGAATCCACTAGAAGAGGACTCATGGAAGCTTGTGCTTGATTTCCTCTAGACTTTGCCTCATGCACCCTTTCCCTGAGATGATTTTGCTTTATATCTTTTCCTGTAATGTAGCGTGGTCATGAGTACAACTGTATACTGAGTCTTGTGAGTTGTAACACATCACCCAACCTAGGAGTTGTCTTGGAGACTCCCAACACACTGGTTTCTTGCTAGGTTTTACTAATCCCTGCAATTCTCTACCACTGGGTCTTCACTTTTGTCAGAATACAGCTGAATGAGTCCTAGCTATTTCTTTTTTAAAAGATTTTATTTATTTACTTTGAGGGGGGAGGGGGGAGCAGGGTGTGTGTGGGGGGGAAGAGGGAGATGGAGAAGCTGAGCAGGGAACCTGAGACCCAGGGGGCTCTATACCCAGGACCCTGAGACCATGACCCAAGCGGGACGCAGATGCTTAACTGACTGAGCCATCCAGGTGCCCCATGACCGAGTCTCAGCTCTTGTTCTTGTGTAATCCTTGTAGAGTGTAGGGAATCATAATGAGTGGCTTAAAGGACCACATCATTGGTCCTAGTGTCAGAGCTGGGAATTTGGGAACCAATTCTGCCACCATTGACCTCAGGCCAATCCTACCCCTTTCCTGGCTGTCTGGCTGTCTATTTGCAAGAGGAGTAGGTTTGATAACTCAGAGAGTCCTTGGCTTAAGAAGTTTTGGGATTTCACTTTTCAACTAGCGCCACTGTCCTTCCCTCAGATATAGTGGAAGGTTACAGCTGGGGTAATAGTAAAGTCTAAGAGTATTTCCTGGGCTTCAGCTTTTTATTCCACCTTTTTTTGGTGATATCTTGGGTCTTGGGATAGGGGTATATTTGCAGGGTGGGGATGACCATTCCCATTCTGACTCTCATTCCTGTTTGTCATCCTGATTCCTGGTAAGATAACTGTGAGGTACCTGGAAACCATGTGGTATGAGGAACTGAGCTTACCTAGTTTGGGAAAGCTGAGACAGTGAGAGGCAGAGGATCCTGTCTAGGCTGATGGCACAAGCCATGTTTGTTTTTTTTTTAATAAATTAATTTTTTATTGGTGTTCAATTTACCAACATACAGAATAACACCCAGTGCTCATCCCGTCAAGTGTCCCCCTCTCACCCCCACCCCCGCCCTCCTCCCCTTCCACCACCCCTAGTTCGTTTCCCAGAGTTAAGAGTCTTTATGTTCTGTCTCCCTTTCTGATATTTCCCACACATTTCTTCTCCCTTCCCTTATATTCCCTTTCACTATTATTTATATTCCCCAAATGAATGAGAACATACACTGTTTGTCACAAGCCATGTTTTCACAAGGTCTCTGGACATAGGACCTGGACCAATGGACAGAACTTCTATACAGCCAGATTTCAGATGAGGATAAAGTGTAAGGATGGGGGTGCCTGGGTGACTCAGTTGGTTAACTGACTCTTGATTTAGGCTCAGGTCATGGTCTCAGGGTCATGAGATTGAGCCGTGCATTAGGCTCTGTGCTCAGTGTGGGGTCTGCCTGAGGTTCTCTCTCACTCTTCCTCTGTCCCTCCTGCTCATGTGCTCTGTCTTTCTCAAATAAATAAATTAATCTTTAAAAAAAAAGTATAATGATGGCATAGTATGGCTTGGAGGTTGTGAGGCCCCCTGAATTCCAGCATTTGAGCTGAAAGTAGGGAATTATTTGGCAGGGATTCAGGCATCAGACATGGGTGATGTAGTGGGTGGCCATGATGGGCACTGGTCAAAGGACGCGTTCTGACCCTCAGGGCTTCAGGCTATTCCCCAAGAGTCTCTTCACTGTCTAGTATTTGACACAACCCCAGGGACCTCAAGGAAGTCTGGCCTGGAAGAGAGTAGAGGTTTGGTCTTTATGCCTGGTCCTCAGTATGAGGGCAGAGAGCAGAGTGCTCCTGGTATTGGTCACTTCAGGGCCAAGCTCAGCAAAATGGTATCTGGGAAGTGTTCTGCTCAGTGTAATTCCATGAAAAGTTAAAGTTGCTAGGTTTTTCCCACCAGAGATATTTTTTTTAATGTCCCCAGCCTTCTCAACTGTGGGATGAAAGACTTTGCTCTTTGTTAAATAGATTTTAGTGTTCATCTGGCAGGTGGGGAGGTGTGGAGGGGTACATCTGGCAGTGACCATGTTTTCTGGATTAAAAAATAAGATTTGATGTGATCTGACAATGGCATAGAACCTTTGAAATAGGGGCTGTTCAGGAAAATCCTGTGATGTAGGGTTATTAGACCATGATTGTTTAGCTGTACGTGTTTTCCTTGGAGTCCAATACTTGCCTTTTCCATCATGGCAGACTTCCCAGAGCCAGACATATGCAATTATTACATGTCCCTACTCAAGGGCACTGGGCCAGTCCTGCGTTGGTTTTCTACAATGCTTTTAATAGCCTGCCTCTTCTTTTCTCCACTTAAAAAAACCTGAAATAAACACTGAGATGAATGAGTCATGGCAAGTCAATTTGGCTTGGATGAGGCTTCCTAGGGAGTGCCTGCTCCAGAGGACCTGGCCTGATGCCTGCATGTTTTAAGGATGGTGTAGTAGAAAGAGTGCTTCCTTGCAAACCAAGAGGCTGAGTTTTGTCCTGCTTTCCTGCTGACTCACTCTGTAGTTCTGGGCAAACCCCTTCTCTTCTCTGAGTCTTATTATCTTCAGAGGGGTGGTGAAGGAGTGCATCATGGATGTGCTTGGCTCTGTACAACAGAAAATTAACCAAATAGGGATTCATTTTTCTCATATAAGAAGAAGTCCTGAAGTAGGGACCAGGGCTGGGGTGGTGGCTCCATGATACTAACAAGGATGAGGTTGTTTATTTTCCTTCTCCTTTGCATTCCATAGCTCCATCCTCAGTCTAGTTGCCCCCCATGGTTGAAAGAAGATGGCTCTATCTCCCTGTGTTATGTCTGTCTTTGCACTGGAAGAAAGAGAAGCCAGGGGGCAGTTTGAAAGGTGCATTATCTGGGTCAGAATGCAAAAGTTTTCCCAGCTTATGTCTTAGTTTATAGTCTCCCCTAGTTACAAGGTAATTTGGGGAAGCAAATCATTGTAGTTGGCCAGGCTCATTGCCTCACAAGAAACCTGCGGTTTTATTAGCAGGTGTTTCAGTTATCCATGGTTGCATAACAAGCACTCTCCAAACTTAGTGGCTTATGATAACAGCATTTGACTCTTTCTCACAGCTGGCCCAAACAGGCTCAGCTGGGCAGTTCTTATAGCCACATGGCACAGCTAGGTCACTCACGTAGCTGCCTGTAGCTGGTAGCTCAGCCGGGAAGTTGATGATGGCTGGACCTTTCAGGATGCTTCTCTTCATCCAGCTTCTCTCGCTATGGGATATCTCATCATTCCACAGTTGAGCCCAAGCTGCTTCATAGTGTAGCAGCCAGTTTCCAAGGGTGGGGGGGGGGCGCTGTTTCCCAAGCCCCAATATACAAGTGCTTATTCAGCCTTTGCTCTCATCACACTTGATGGTATCCTGTTAGTCAAAGCAAGTCACACAGTCCAGCCCAGAGACAATATAGGAGGTGTGGTTCACTGGGGACCACCACCATGGATGTCTACCACAGGAAGGAGGGAGGAAGAGTGAATATGGGGTGGGCAATAGGTCTGTTTGCCACAGTAGGTTAGAGCTCAACAGTGTTTTCCAGACTGTGAGTCTTGAGATTAGTTTAGTAGTTGAGGACCAGCATTTGAAAAAATACATAGAAAGACTATAGAGTATATAGATATATGCACATATATATATAAAGTTTAAGCATGTCTATGGATTAATATACACAATGAAGAATGTAATTTTGCACTCAAGAATCACAGTGAAAACAACTGGAAACACTGGACTTGAACACCTCTGGGCCCCATGCTCTGATTCTATTGCAGAGTCTGGTGGTGAATGTCCTGCTGACCCCCTTCCATGTGAGGAGCTGTGTGACAGGGATGAATCCTGTCCCCAGGGGCAAAAATGCTGTAGCACCGGCTGTGGGCACGCCTGCCGCGGAGACATTAAGGGAGGTATGTTGGCTCCTTGGGGAAGAAATCCTTGAGTTCCACGGTTGGTTGGGGAGGGAGCCGTTGGTGGCCTTATTGTCTTTCCCTTCCTGGGGGGAGTCAGAGTTCTCATCCTTCCTGTCCTCCTAGCCTCCAGCCCAAAGCCACCCTTCCTCCTCAGGCTCCGGAGCCCATGCTGGCATTTTAAGAACTAGGGGAAGGCAGTGTGGGTTAGTAGGAAAAGTTCTGAGGTTGGAAGACTGGTAGCATGGCTGCTGGTCTTGGTCCCACTGCTGACTGGCTCTGTGGCCTTGGGGAAGCAAACTCTCATTGAGCCAGTTTCTTCCTCAGTAAAATGAGGGAACTGCCCAAGATCATGGTTTTCTGACCAAATTCTTAGGAACATATCTGCAACAGATCAAAGCATTCCTGATCTGATTTCTTTGTTTCAAAAAATATATATTTAAAACAAATCCATATTTTTGAATGTTCCTTTTATACCAGGTGCTGTGGAACTCCCATTTCAGAATCACTGGCTCAGGTGTGTGTGTGTGTGTGTGTGTGTGTGTGTGTGTGTGTGTGTGTGTGTGTGTTTTAAAGATTTTATTTATTCATGAGAGACACAGGCAGAGGGAAAAGCAGGCTCTTTTCAGGGAGCCCGATATGGGATTTGATCCCCAGACCTCAGGATCACAACCTGAGCCAAAGGCAGATGCTTACCTGCTAAGCCACCCAGGCATCCCTCAGATGTGGTTTTTAGACAACATGTAGATTCCCAGGCAGTGTTCAAGGTTCTGAAGACATATTCTTGAAATTATGTAGTTTATCAGGGAAGGTAGATCAGATCAGGAATTGTAATAAATTCTGATGAGAGGAGCACAACCCAGGGCACCAAGCCTTGTCTGGGATGGCAGAGGAGGCCTCCCTGAGGAAGTGACCCTGAGAAGCCCAGGCAGAGGGGAGAGAGAAGGGTGCTCCTTGGCACCCCACCCAGCCCCACACACAGAGATATCAAACCCAGGGACCTCTGGGGAACTCTATGGGGTATCATTTGAAAAGTTTTAGTCCAGATGTTCTCGTGGGCCCCTACTGATTTTCAGAGGCTCTAGCTTCCAGGTTTCCCAGGCAGATCTTTGGTTAAGATCTAGTTACAGTAAGGGATGGATTTCTCTGGAACTTCCAGGTCTCAGTTCTAGCCAGGAACTTGGAGTGGGTGGAACCTACCGTCCAGTCTGTTTACCTGTGCCTGTTTATCCCGCAGGGCGGGGTGGTGATTGTCCAAACATTTTGGTGGGCCTGTGCATTGTTGGCTGCATGATGGATGAGAACTGCCAGGCTGGGGCAAAATGCTGCAAGTCAGGCTGCGGCCGCTTCTGTTTCTCTCCAGTTCTGCCACCGGAACCAGCCATGAACTCCAACTGGACCTCAGGTCTGATTCTGCATTAGGTGAGTATGGTCTGTCATCACTGATAATAACTGAACTGCTATGTGCAGAGCACTGGGTTAGGTGCTGGGTAGGGGATTTCAGAAGGTCAAGACAACTAGAAGGTCTTTTTCTAGTTGGGGAAAAAGATCCTATGTCACAGATGAGAACTCTTTTTTATTGACATCATGGTCTTCTAGGCTCTCAGAGTGGGTATGCCTCCTTGGTAGGTTTTCCCGCCTGAAGCAGGATTTGATCTGGGCCTTAGAGGCTAGGCAGGATGTGACAAAGGGGGGACAGCACAGAGAACATGCTGGATGGGTAGTCTGGTGGTTAGCAAAGGCACAAAGGGTGGGATGTATGTGTTTGGGAAGCGGGGTGGGGTGGGTGAGAGTGGGCTGTTTTTGTGCCAGGAGATATAAGGTTGACATCTGAATGAGGAGAGTCTTCACTGCAAGTTTGGACTGGATTGTCTGGGAAGCAGGACACCATTCAAGGCTCTGGGTAGCAACACATGCCGAACTTCTCTAGGGTAGAGGGGAAACATCTCTAGGATGGGGGGAGCCAGGAGGGCACAGCTTTGACCTGATGTTTCTTCTTTTTGTAGAGAGCCCGATGCCTTAGCTGTCCTGATTTATCCTGAGCTGCTTGGTGACTGCAGGGGGCTTGTTCTGGCTGCCAGGAGAGGGTGATGCCCTGGGGCTGTGAGCCTTGTGGGGGCTCTCGTGGCCCTCTTTGCTCTGCTCCTGCTGCTGCCTTGAGCATGGGAAACAGAGTTGTGGGTTTGGGCAATGGTGTGCAATGTCCCCAATAAAGACTTTGCTCACCTTCTTGTCTGTGCTGTTTGAGGGCCAGGATGAGGAGAGAGTGCCAGGGGTCTGAGCATGTTTACAGGATTACAGGATTAAGGCAATCCATCCTTTCTGAGAACACCAAACCTGGGTGCTGCTCAGGTAGGTTAGAGCTCAGCCTAGGCTGACTTGTCACAGATGTCTCTCGCAAGCTTCAGGAGTGGGACCATCAGGCTCCTTCTTGGGCCTGCTGACCTTTCTTTTGTTGGAAAGTATGAATGGTGATGGAATGGGGGTGGGCGACTAATTTACTGTAGTCCCTTGGATGTTCCCACCTTGGAGTTCCTTCCTTGGGGGCCCATCCCTTAGCTCTAAGACAGGCAGTTTGTCCTCTCTGGGTAGCTTTGCTGTAGGGAGACGTTGTTCTTAGGGTCTCAGAATATAAACAATTAGAAATAATTAAAAAATGCATACAAAATGGATCACATTCTATGTCTTGGAGAAGTTTATGTCATCACATTATTCTTGTAATGGGACACCGTGAAAATAGCTAATTTAACTAGTCATCTCCTGGTGGACATTAATGCTTGTACCTATAAGTGTTGGCCTACTTTTGCAGGTAAATCTGGGGAAATTCTTTTTTTTTTTTTTTTTTACAATATTTTATTTTTTTTATTATAAATTAATTTTTATTGGTGTTCAATTTACCAATATACAGAATAACACCCAGTGCTCATCCCGTCAAGTGTCCCCCTCCGTGCCCGTCACCCATTCACCCCCACCCCCGCCCTCCTCCCCTTCCACCACCCCTAGTTCATTTCCCAGAGTTAGAAGTCTTTATGTTCTGTGTCCCTTTCTGATATCTCCCACACATTTCTTCTCCCTTCCCTTATATTCCCCTTCACTATTATTCATATTCCCCAAATGAGTGAGAACATACACTGTTTGTCCTTCTCCGATTGACTTACTTCACTCAGCATAATACCCTCCAGTTCCATCCACGTTGAAGCAAATGGTGGGTATTTGTTGTTTCTAATGGCTGAGTAATATTCCATTGTATACATAAACCACATCTTCTTTATCCATTCATCTTTCGATGGGCACCGAGGCTCCTTCCACAGTTTGGCTATTGTGGACATGGCTGCTAGAAACATCGGGGTGCAGGTGCCCCGGCGTTTCATTGCATCTGAATCTTCGGGGGAAATTCTTTGTAGTAGAATTCTAGTTCCTTCAATAGAGCCTGACCCCAAAAAACGCCCTCAATTAGTGTTTGTTGAATGAATGAATATAATCCCTGAGTCTTTCCATTAGGAATTTGTTGAGCTGCAAGTAATAGAAAACCCAACTAATAGTGGCTTAGCCAATAAAGACATTTAATTTTCTCATATTAGATTTCGGAGAGAGGCTATGAGGCTGGTCCAGCAGCTCACCCACAATACTAATGAGCAGACTCCTTCCTTCCTCCTGTACCAATGTCAGTGAGACTGTCACCTGGGATAGTTGCTGCAGATCTGGATGTCATGGCAGGAAGGTTTGTGGTGAACAGAGTGGTGGAAAGACCTTCACCTCAAATGATGTGCTCCATTAAAAAAAAATATTTATTTGTTCATGAAGACACAGAGAGGCAGAGGGAGAAGCAGAGCGTGATGTGGGACTTGATTCCAGGACTCCAGGAGCACAACCTGAGCCAACGGCAGACACTCAACCACTGAGCCACCCAGGTGCCCCTGGTGAGCTCCTTTTAATGATGGCGACCATCTTCCCCAGAAGCTGACCCCTCCCCACATTTTCCTCATCCTCTCATTGGCCAGAGGTGTTGCTGCCCGGAAGGACAGAGAAGCAAATGTCTGCAAATAGGAAAGGGAAAATGTGACTGTTCTTAGATTATACATGCTTTATCCTTGAAGCTGAGGTAGGGGCCCACCTGGATATAAAAGTCAAGATTCTATTAGCAAGAAAGAAGGGGAGAATGATTTTGGGGTAGGTAAGTAATGAACTGCGTGTGTTGCATGGGGTCAAAGGATATATATGTTCAAAATGTGGACAGCCACAATTGCCAAACTGTGGAAGGAGCCTCGGTGTCCATCGAAAGATGAATGGATAAAGAAGATGTGGTCTATGTATACAATGGAATATTACTCAGCCATTAGAAATGACAAATACCCACCATTTGCTTCGACGTGAATGGAACTGGGGGGTATTATGCTGAGTGAAATAAGTCAATCGGAGAAGGACATGCATTATATGGTCTCATTCATTTGGGCAATATAAATAATAGTGAAAGGGAATAGAGGGGAAGGGAGAAGAAATGGGTAGGAAACATCAGAAAGGGAGACAGAACACGGAAGACTCCTAACTCTGGGAAACGAACTGGGGGTGGTGGAAGGGGAGGTGGGCGGGGGGTGGGGGTGACTGATTGGCGGGCACTGAGGGGGGCACTTGACAGGTTGAGCACTGGGTGTTATTCTGTATGTTGACAAATTGAACACCAATAAAAAATAAATTTATTAAAAAAAACCCCAAAAACCAAAATGTGGACAGAAATTACTAAGTAGGCAGGGATTTTATAACAACAACAAAAAAAGAATAGTAGTGCTCACCTTGAATATTGCAAAAATATCTTTATAATTCCCAACACTAATGGAAAAAGTTGTTTACAACTTAAAACAACAACAACAACAACAACAACAATTTCTAGGTCGTTTGGGTGGCTCATTCTGTTAAGCATCCGACTTAAGTTTCAGCTCAGGTCATGATCTCAGGGATGTGGTATTGAACCCCATGGTGAGCTGAGTCTGCTTAAGACTCTTGCTCCCTCTGCCTGCCCCCTAGATACATAAAAATCTTAAAATAAAAAAAATTTCCACTACCGCTATCTTTTTGTGCCCCTTCTCCCTCTGTTTTCACACTAGCCTGTGAAATTTTGGTTTCTCCTGGGTTCTGAACCAAGGAGAACTGAAAGAGATGAGTAGACATGTCTATGTTGCCTGATGCCAGGAGGAGTGGCTGGCATAAGCATCGCAGTGGCCATCCCAGGGACACTCAGGGCTCCAGGCTCAGTGAAAGGAAGTAGGAGGACCCACCAGGGTCAATGTAATAGGCTGCTAAACTTTTGGTAGGTTCCTCTTCCATGGTTTTGCTTATCATGTTATGATTTATTAAAAAAACAAAACAACACATGCACACCAGTAAAAAAAATCAACACAGAGATGCTTTTGATGCTAAACAGCAGTCCTGGGATCTTAAAATACTGCTGGGGTGATTTTCTGTTGGGAGTGGGGCTAAGACTGGAAAGGAAGGCCTGAGCCCCAGCACAGCTCAGGCTGAACATTGGGAGAAAGGTCCCTTCCAGATTTTTCCTCCTCATCGGGGGCAGCCCACTCTGTCCACATAGGAGCAATGACATGGGGAAGGGGGAGGGGAGACAGTGAGAGTGAGAGAGAGTGAGAGAGAGAGAGAGAGAGAGAGAGAGAGAGAGAGAGAGAGAAAGCATGAACTGAAGGGCCGAATTTGACCTTGGGATTGTGTTTTGGACGTCAAGGGTTGAGATGGGGTCCAATTCCATGTCACCCCACCCTCCTCCCAGGCTTTTCTAGGTTGCTTTTCCTACCGTTGTACCCCAAACCAAAGAAGCTATCAGAACCTTTCCTTCCTCAGTTTAAGGACATGTCAGCTTAGGGCCTGGAGGAGCAGGCTCAGTGGATCCTGCTCCTATGGACGCCCTAACCTTGCACCCTGAAATTAGCCCTGGCCAGATTGAAAAACCACACACACACACACACACACACACACACACACTCCTCCCCACATCCTCAGCTTCCTGTGGCTCACCTTAGGGGGTGAAATCTGAAGCCAGCTCCCCATTCACAGAGGGCCTGGTGAGAGGGAGGGAAGCACAGCTCTGATCAGCAGGTAGCAGGTGTAATAAGTCAGGGAGCTACCACAGGATGCTTGTTGAGGGCAGCAGATCTTAGCGCCTGCCCACCCACCAGAGCCTTAGCAGTTTACAGAGAGGCCTTAACGGGGCTCAGTCACAGGCACCCGTCAGAGGGTCTCAACAACACCTTGCTCCCTCAAGGCTACATCCTGGCAGATGGCTCCCGCTGTGGAACATGAGTGGCCTGAGTGGTGGTACATTCTAAGGGCAGGGAAGGGGGAGGAGCCTCCCATTGCCCTGGGGTCAACAGGGGGTCATGGCCTCTCTGTGACCTCCAACACTTCCGAACAGTGGGCAAGAATTTCTGGGGCTCTGATACTTCCTGGTCCTCAAGTGTGAGTCACCTGAGATCTGTTCTTTGACCCAAGTCACTGGGTCTTTCTTCATCCTTTTCCTCGACCATCAGGTGGTGGAAACCCCAGGCTGCACACTTGTGTGCCACTTTAGTGATATCACGGGCCCTGGATCCTCTTCCGTGTGCTGCTCTTCTGGGTCTTACTCTCTGGGGGGCATAATGTCATTGGTAAGCGGGATATGTGTGGTGACGTGGCAAGGGGGTGCTCTTGAGGGTGACCTTCCTTTTCCTACCCAAGTTAAGCCCTCTTGTCAAGGGGATTGGTGCGTGGAAGACCAGATTCCAATAGATTCACAAACATCAGAAAAGAATGAAGAAGGCGCCTGCCAAAGAGTTAACAGCTAACACTGAGTGCCTACCGGGTCCCAAGTGCTGGGCTCAGAACTGGACATGCAGAGAGGCCCTGGGACGTTCTGTGTCTTCCACATGAGCTAACGAGGAAACCGAGAGCGTTCCCCCCACCCCAAAGATTTATTTATTTATTCATGAGAGACACAGAGAGAGAGAGAGACAGGCAGAGACATAGGCAGAGGGAGAAGCCCTCTGTGATCCCTGGGACCGTGGGATCACACCCTGAGCCAAAGGCAGATGCTCAACCACTGAGCCACCCAGGCATCCCCCGAGAACGTTTAAATAACTTGCCCAAGGGTGACACTGAGGGTGTCACGGGGTAGTTTGACCCTTGGTCTGTATGACTCCGGCAATTTTGGTATGCTACTTTCTCTCACTGTGAAATGGCGGTAGG